GAGGGCAGAACCTCTGATCACGGGGTGAAAGGGTCAAAGGGTGAAAGGAAGGCCTTGATGAGTTTCTTGGGAGTGAGCAGGCAGTAGGTGCGGGCCTTCACAGGAACACAAGCGGTATTGTCTTTTTTTTTTAACACAGGCCCGCTTTCCGCTTTTATAACCGTGGATGTGACGTCACCACAGACGCTTTTTCGGCTGTCACTTTTTTTCTCCAAAGTCTGACGAATCCGATACAGCAGTTTCACAATCGGACAACGAATCTGATGTGACAGTTTTACAATCCGATGACGAATCTGATGTGACAGTTTCACAATCCGATGACGAATCTGATGTGACCGTTTTACAAATCAGACGATGAAACTGATGTGACAACTTCACGACAATTTCACAATCTGACGTATAATCTGATGCGACAGTTCAGTCGGTTGGTTTATTTTTCAGTCTGACTTTTTGTTTCTACTCTGAAATCTGTCCTTCTGTGACGAGATCGTCTTTCATTTTCGAGCAGTTCCCGCATTCATTTACGTAATCTTCTCTTAAATCACTTTGATCGTTTTCATATTACGTTTTTCCTGAATGTTTTTAAAGTTATTCTTCATAAACAGTTTCGGGTTTCTTCTGAGAACTTTTCTCTAGGGCATATCTTGATGATCACCTCATAAATATATCTCATTCATTTCAAAGTTTAATTATATCTATTTTCAGCACCAGCTTACAACAACTGCGAGGGGGCAATCTCTCTGTCTATATGGAGTACGTCTGTATAACAAAAAACATCCTATCTTCTATCTGACTGGCTTCAAAATAGCACGTCTCCCTTGGCTTTTTTTGAAAGACGACACGCTCACAAATCTTAAAGGTCTATTCTAAGACGTGTCAAATAAAATAACGCTAAGCCTCCCTCAAAGTTGCCGCAGCTTGGAGGAATAAATTTTAATGTGTGTATCTTTTTATTCTTTTTTTTGCGTGTGTTTAGTTGTCAGGTTCACGAGAACTCAGGATAAGAGTTGGGCTGAGGAACGTTGAATCAGAGCCTCGTTTCTGCAGACACGCCATAGTGCTTCAACCCAGCTCAGCGGACGCTTTAATTAATGTGATGGGGAGGTAGGTACGTAGATCCTTGACCTGTGGATGAAAAAAAAAAGGAAAAACTTTTACTAACTTAGAAGAAAATGAATGAAAAAAGTAAGACTTACTTTACTTCACTTCACTTTACTTTACTTTACTTTACTTTTCCGACCCAGCCGTCATTTCAATGAGATCTAGCCCTTCGGCCTGTCGATATATGGCAAAGAATTTACATGTTTTTATCAGCTGTGCATTTTCGCTGCATAATAAGGTATTTTCGATGTCTGGGGAGACAGGTAGATTGGTACTACTACTACGCAGGTCGCTTAGCGCAGGGCAGGTATAGAGGTAGTGTGATACTGTTTCATCCTAGCAGTCACACAACGTTTTTTTCTTTTTCCTTTTCTTTTTTTTCTAGAAGAGGTTTTACGGTGCTCGCAACTGCATTAGGTCATATGAGCGCCAGAAGACTAGAGGTGTTACAAGAGAGTAACAAACACAAAATAGAAGAAGGGCAGAAAAGGACGAAAGATATTTGACAGGACAGGAAAGAAAAAGCACACCACACCAGAGCACCCGCCAACCACCCACAGTCACAAAAAGAAGCAAAACAAACTTGTACAATAGAAAGACATAGTAGTCAGAAGAAGAAGAACCGAGTGGTATTGCGAAATATTGGACTGGTTACGGCAGAAAAAGATGTAATATTATGTGTAACATAGAGGTTATATAAATGTTATTATTATTATTATTA